TTTCAGACATTGTAATAAGAACAATTAGAATATAACAGAATGTTTCCTGGGCAAAATGAAGGAGACAGAAGAATGAGTTTTTAAAAGAAGCTTAAACATCTAGCCACGGCATATGTAAGATTAAACCTTTTTTATTTTAAAAATTCTATTTCTATAACTTACAGATCTTGCATTGGCATTCCTAGTTACTCTTAGGAATCATTCTGACAGTGCATTTAAGCTTTCCAGATGTTTTACCTGTCATTCTACCAAAGTAAGACTGTTTAAAATGTAAAATATGATAGCAATGATAGGTGGCAATGATTCCCCAGGCTGACTCAAAAGTGACTCTATCAAAAATACACGTACTAAATAACACTGTATTAATGATGCTAGCTAGGTCAATTGCATTTAATGCTGTCTGCTTTGTTTATATTACAGATTAGCTACAAAAGACCTCTCAGCAGCTCCATAAATAAAGAAGTTAACCATACTCTTATTGGAAGGACGAACAAAATTCACTTTCTGAAGAAAACAATCTGACTGTGTGTGTGTGTGTGTAAATAGTTGGGGGCAAATGTAGATAGTGTGGGGAGAGAGGAAATAATTTGATTTGAGATTATCAAACTGAATATGGGTTAAACAATCATCTATGTCATTTCTTTTTTTTCTTTTCCTTTTTTTTTTTTTCCCCCCGAGATGGAGTATCACTCTGTCACCCAGGCTACGATCATTGTGCAGAGCTACGATCTTGGCTCACTGCAAGCTGTCACCTCCCAGGCTGAAGCGATTCTCATTCCTCAGCCTCCCAAGTAGCTGGGATTACTAGCTACTGAAACCGGCTACTTTTTTTTTTCTATTTTTTTAGTAGAGACGAGGCTTCACCATGTTGGCCAAGCTGGTTTTGAACTCCTAGCATCAAGTGATCTGCCTGCCTTGGCCTCCCAAAGTGCTGGGATTATGGGTGTGAGCCACCACACCTGGCCTATGCCGTTTTTAAAATAAGCCCTTTGCCAGCATATGCAATGCAGTGGAGAAGCCAAAGTACAGCTGTAACATGTCCTGCAAATTTCTGTCAGCGGAGCCCTTAAACAGTAACTTTGTTACATTCCTGAAGTATTTTTCATATACTTTTAGAAATAAATATACAATCAGTGATCAATCATTAACTCTTCAGAGGTAAAAGGAAATAGAGTCATGATTTCTTTTTATTCTGACTCAGAATCTTGAAAATCTTAATTTTTATTTTGACTGATTGCCAACAGCTTGAATGAATAAGACTTTCTGCTCAAAGGTATAGAAAAAATAACACACATAAAGACACAAATAAATACATACCTATGAAGAGAAACATTTAAACCTCCCAGTGATACTGTGACACTTTAAGACAGCCAATTATAATCATCAAATTTTGTGAAAGTCAATGAAAAAATCCATTTCTTGGACCCAGTTACAACATCAAAGGTCATTTGTTTCATGACCATTTTCATTATTATCTGAATTCCACTTTATTTAAACTCTGTCTACAGAGTTAGGGAATGAACAGCTTGTCTCTAGATAGCTCTCCATCTTATGTTAGGATAGAAGAAAAATTACTTTCCAGGAAATCAGCCATAGCTGCGTTCTGATGTCGAGTTTTACTATTATAATTCTGAATGAATCAATTTTCTCCTTTGTTTTCTTTCTTTTGGTTGTATGGTATGCTTACATGAAGAGTAATTTCTTTTTGGTTGAATCAGTTGCTTTTTCACTAAACTACATGTTATATGTCAATTTTTTGTACATACCTCAGTTCTTTTCAAAAAGTGTCATGATTCCATAAACTGTTTTCTATTTCCCTACTGTTTTTCCAAACACATTGGCTTTGTAGTGATTTAACTCATGGTTTTTATTAGTTGTTTGTTTTTCTGGTGTCCCTTTTAATGACCAGCAAGGACTAACTGAAGCTGCAGAATCTTCAACAGCTGCCTTGAGAATCCGTTCATTTTGTGAGTTTCCGTAGTACATTTTTATGCATACGTTCTCTACTACACTGAAATAGTGAGGATAAAATTGGTTTCATTTCAGGATCCCCAGCCCTAACATACATTAAATATTTACTAAGGAAATGAGTAAGCAGAAGAAAGAAAAGAAGAAAGGAAAGAAGGAAGGAAATAAATGCTTGCCTTATTCGAATTAATAAAAGACTAAAAAACATGAGTGGTAGATGATTATTTAGTGGCTGCTGGATTTTATAAACTTAATTTTTGTTGCTTACTAATTTCAATTTCCCCATCTGCTTTTGGAGAGTTTTACAGATAATCAAGTGGACATATGCACAGATCCTGGTACCAATGGAACAGTTTTCACCTGTCTTCACAACAGACCATATGCAAAATGACTCAAATGAGGAGCCATGCCAAGCCATTTCTGTTCACTTTACAAATTTAAGAACAATCAAGGTTTAAAAATTTTTTTAAATGACCTGCAATCTTTCTTTTAAATAAAGCAATTCCTTGGTTTGGTATACTACAGAATATATAACTATTTTCAGACACATGAATTTATCATATGAAAATAATGAAGCTTATGTTATACGCAGGTAAATGCTTGCACTGCACAAAGAGTACATTCATTTCTTTTTACATTTGTGAAGATGAGCACATGATTCAATATCATAACATTTCTTAAATCAGAAGCACTTGTTGACACGCAACACAGCTATGTAGTTTTGGTAAGAGGAAGAGTGAGAGAATGCGGCTTTTCTTTCTGAAATAAAAGCTCACCAGGGCTGGAAGCAAAAGCCATATGAATGGGAGGGATATAACAGGGAAAGCAAAATCAGAGCATTCAATACAAGGCTTTGGGACATAAACCCTGCTTCTACTTCTCTAGAGAGAGCTTTCCTATGAGATAACCAAAACAATGAAGCAGAGAGGTTGGTAAAATGTTTGTGCCTCTTCCCAGGTCCAGAATACATGGTATATCATATGGGATGGTAATGAGAAACTAAACAAAACCACCACTGCATTTGGTCCCCAGAGACCCTATCAGGTTATGGCATTGGTTGAAAATACCTGAATATCCTGGCAGATACCAAGATCCCAGCTGTGCCTAGTGAAAAATATTGTCATGCATATGAACACGTGGACTTAAGAGTACCCTTGGTTCAGATGTAGCAAGGTGATGTCCATCTGGGAATTTTTATTTCTGTTTAGACTCTAGACACATCCCAAAAGCAGATGAGTCAGTGATTGACTGAGTTTGCCTACAAAGAGAAACCCATGTAGATTTCACCAGAGTAATTTTCTTCCGCAGGCTTCTGAAACAACCATGTTATTATGATTTCCCTATAGAAAGCCCAGTCAAAGGTTGCAGAAGTTGTTTGTGCTTCACCCTCTCTAAATGACTTGCAAATTTATTCAAACACAATATTGAGGAGATGCTTTATTTGTTGAAATAACTGTCTGCAGTGTCCTGCACTAAAGGGTGAGGTACATCAAGCAGAAACATGGACAGAAATACATTGGTTTCAAAACCCATAAATCCTTATTTGAATCTGCCAACCTGAAAGCCACATAGAGCCCACATAAACTATTTTTCCTAAATGCTACATCTGATTAAACCATACCATTAAATGACAGCTGAACTTTAACATTAATATGATATTATTTAAATAACCACATGCATTTTTTTACACTAAAAATGATGAATGATTTCTAGACAGCTCAATTGACATAAAGCAGGAGGACTCTTTAATAAGATTTGACAAAATGGAGACATATGCAGAATATTCGTTACAGCTCACGACGCAGGAGCCCTCCCAGGGAAGCAACAGAGGTTTTTCCCCTCCCCTTCCTTTCTTTTTTATTGTCTATAGGCACTGAAGCATTCCTTTCAATCGCCACTTTCCTTCTCTGTGAATTCTGAGTTTTTCTTAGGCCATTTACATATTACTCTTAATCAGAGAATTTGGTGGCTTATGATTCCGAGTTGGGGGGGGTGTTCAAGAAAAGGAGGGGGAATGTCACATTATGCCAGCCTTGGCTGGAAATATCCCAAGAACTTTAGGCTTGCTACTGGTCAGACTGCTTAGAAAAATCTTATCAGCCTTGAAGACCAAATCACTAGACATTTGATTGGTTCTTATGCAATAAATCTCTAACACAGCAAATATACTTTCAGCAAATTATTGTATATGGATATGTGATCAGAGAAGATTTCAGTTATTTTTAGATGGTTGTCTCTATAGTATCGACTATAAAGATTTCCTTCTTTAAAATTCTAATTAAGCCATTCCAGAGGCCATTTTCAGTGTTTCTGGTTGGTTCACTTTTTTATGCACAGTTCCAAACTGACAGTCATGCTAGATGATATTTTTATTTAGTAGATTCCGAATGTGAAATAATTTTAGGCTGAATGTACTTAGAAGAACATTACCTACATTCATTCATTTTCTCATCCTATTTAGCATATTTTCTGTCAATCAAAGTTGAGTTACACATATAAAACATGAACGTTTGTTCGCTAACTCAATGAATTCATATTATTCACATAATCTTGATGCTTTATAAATCATCTTTAAGTGCATACATAAAACAGAAATGTTTCCCCAAACAGCGTCACTTGAAGAAATAAAAACAAGGCAACAGAGGACAAAGCTAATATCAAGAGTGCTCCTGAAAATGGCAGGTCTGCATTCCCTCCATGAGAACAAGGCCATCGAAATAGAAAATAAAATCAGCCTGCTCCTGCCATGGGGCCTTCCTCAGGCTATAAAAAAATACTTCTTTTCTAACCCTAATTTTTTCCATAGCTTGAGGTTACCCCCCTAGCTCAAGCCTTCTCTTTAATCTATGTTAATATGTGTCCCTGTCCAAACAAGAGTTAATATCCGTGCTCCGTTATTTCAAAAGGGTCCTGACACAGAGTACTAAGAGCAGAAGCTCAAAAGCCTGTAATATGTCCTGTTGCAATCGAATAAAAACATAGTATTTTAAAAAAGAGACAGAGAGAAAGATAGGTCCCTACCTTGCTCTTACCTTCGCAACATCCCCGTCAGAATCCTGGAGCTTTTTCCCAAATTAGCATCTGTTTCCCGAAGCTATGAGGAGAACAGCAATGTTAAAAGAAAACAAAAAGTTCACGCAATTGGATTATTCCTAAAGTGCACGGCAAGCGACAATTTATTTCACGATAGAAAATCCAAACAATAAAAATGTTCAGATATACAAAAATAAATACATTTCTGACAGCTACATAAACTTGGAAAATTCTTAGATTTGGAGAATGACATGGGAGAGGTAATCCTGGAAGCTTTAAGCTGGGTACTAGAACCAGACATAAAAGCAAAGCACAGGCTGAAAAAGTTTCATATACGTTTGGTAATTCATCTCCAACTTATGAATGCTCAAAGTCCTAAAAAGTTAACAAAAATGAACTGCAGAAAGACGACCACCAATAATTTTACAGTTTTCACTCTAAAGGATGGACATACTCCAAAATCTCCCTCAGTGACCATCTCCTCTATAAGAAGTAACTAAAACACTCCCCTGGGAGCATTCTAGGATGGAGACATAGAGTCAGCTGCTATTTCCTCCATCTCAGCCTCTTTTACTTTGCACAGATCTTATACCCTCTTTCACCTTAGATACTCACATCTACCCAACTGCTATTGTTTATGTCCCAGTGCCTTTCATTTATGTCTTCATTTACTGAATATGTGAAAAAACTGTATCACTTGTACTTACTCTTTCACGTGCTCGCTGTATCTTTTCTCTGTCATGACTAAGGTTTTCCAACATCTCCTGACCAATTTGCTCTATAAAAGAGAAAATTTGATTAAGGAAAAATGATTTGAAGTGCATATGAGAGTAACTTTCAGAAGTACCAAAATGACATAAAAATGTTAAAGTAGCATGCATTATACATCAGACATATATTTCAATTCATGTATTTGAAAAATATAAACAATATTGGATAAATTTACTTATTTATCTTAGGTATAATTAGATATTTGACCTGTAGAACATAACCAACATGAGAATAATGATTTAGAGGTGATGTCTTGCCCAGGCCACACCAGCAAATATCAGCAAAGGTGGAGGAGATCTGAGGTCCATTAGTCTATTTTGCCATCATGGAATTTAGCTGTTGGTTTTTACAGGTTGTAAGTAATGTTAATGATTCTGCTCTCCCTTTCCCTTTTCATTTTGCTATGTATGTCAGACTCCATTTAGAACAATTTTAATTTTAGTGTATTCACCCTGCATACATAATCCTCATACGCTCACTGACTGTAGCTTATGGGTAGTGAAACTATCTTTAGGCTTCTGTTTCCTTCAAGGCAAAGGCTCATTTAATGTGTTATCAGGGGCTGCAGGTACTTGAGTCAACTCAAGGTGAGGTTCATTCCTTCTCAAGTAGTTGAGGGGAGCTCATGCTGGAGACAGTGTTTTCACCCCAGAACTCTGAAACCTTTGTACTATTATAGGCAATTTAGAACATTCATTAAAAAGCCACACTGCTGAGTTCTAATGACATTTTCCCGTGCCATGATCATATCATTTGGTTGACACTAGGCAGTCTCTTCTCCAATTGTAGACCGTTTTTACAAGTCAGTAGGTAGGGCCTGACCTCACAAATATCCAGCTGCCTTGAATAAATCATTTTCAGACTCGTTCTCCATTACCTGGGAGGTGCCTTATTCCATACTAGAAGGATGCCAATTGATCCGCCTCTTGTATAATCTTGGCCACCTGTCTGACTGCCTTGTTTTACATCTCTCTCTCCTTTTCCCTCTTGCATTGTCTCTTTACTCATACCTATAACAGTAATTTCTGGCTTATTAACATATAGAAGTATTCAAACAAGCATCTATTATAATAATAACAAATAATTTAATGAAGTCAGTAAGATGTCACCATGGTAGTTATTTGGCTCACATATACATACTGCTAGACTTTTTTTAAAAAGAACACTCTAAAAGTATAGAGCAGTAGTTAGGCAACACTGAGAGCTGTGGCTGTGAACTCACACTGCCTGAGCCAACATCCCAGCGCCGGCTTTTACTAGCTGTGTGGCTAACTTCACTGTGCCTCAGTTTATCCATAAATGAGAATAATAATAATAGTACTATATCATGAGATGGTTATAAGAGTTTGATAAGGTAATTCAGTCACAATATTTAGCACAGTGACTGGCCTACAGCAATAATAAGCATTTATTGAATGATGACTGATACAAAAACACCAATGGACTATTATGACTTTGACATTCTCCTATCTTAGTCCTGTTGTAGCTCACTTGAACTGCAATTTTATTCACAGGATGAAATACCTATCCTGCCTTTCTCACCAAGTTGGTCCAATGACATAACCTAAGTAAAAATGTTGTGGAAGCCATAGGGTCTCATAACAAGTCATGTCATGATGTAGAATGTAAGAGTCAGAGCATTCAGCAAATCATCATTGAGTCTCCACTGTGTGTCAGGTACAAGTGCCAGGGATATGGCCAGGAAACCACAAGTGTTTGCACTCACGAAACTTCCATGCCATCAGCGAGGATTAGGCAGTTAAAAAACTGTTACAGAAGAGTTACAGACAAATGTTAACAGAAGAGTTTGCATTTCAAGGCACATCAGAAAAAGCACTGCATAGTCCCTTAATGACAGAAAATCTAACTCATAGAAAAACAATTACATACACCATCATAAATATATTTTTGACAGCATACAAATTTTTAACATTCTTTCCTAGTATATTGGCTTCTCTTAGACTTATTTCAGCTCTTTATTATTAACTCCATACAATTTACCCTTAAGGTAAAATTGGGTAAGATATGTGGCTCCCAGGGGAAGTATCACAGAAGTGGAAGATGATATCAATAATGGAGAAGAGGGAAACAACTAAAGCTGAATTTTTTTCTTTTCTTGCATGACAATATTCAACTTTGTCATGCTGTTACGACTTTTACTTGAATTTCTTTTATCAACATAATAGAGCAATTATAGTTCATTTTTCACTTAAAACCTTTAATATATATGAGCACCATGAACACTGTAATTATTTCAGCAAAATACCATTTATATCATATTTTCTCCTGTTCAGATTGATGATATTATCACATGTAATCTAAAACAAAGAGGAGGTCAGGTGCAGTGGCTCAAGCCTGTAAATTCCAAGACTTTGGGAGGCTGAGGCGAGTGGATCACCCGAGGTTGAGAGTTCAAGACCAGACTGACCAATGTGGAGAAACCCCGTCTCTACTAAAAATACAAAATTAGCCGGGGGTGGGGGCACATGCCTGTAATCTCAGCTCCTCGGGAGGCTGAGGCAGGAGAATCACTTGAACCCTGGACTGGGAGGTTGCAGTGAGCTGAGATCACTCCATTGCACTTCAGCCTGGGCAACAAGAGTGAAACTCCATCTCAAATAAATAAAATAAAATAAAAAAACAAAGACGAAATAGGCTATGACTATTGTGTCTGTGGCCAGTATAGTAACCCCAGTAGGTATCTGTGGAAAGAATGAAGAAGTAAAAAAGTTAAAGTATGTGTAAGGTTTGTGACCTATTCTTGCTCTGGAGAAGTCAACATCAGAAAGCAGGTAATAGATTCATCATCCTATCAGGTTCACTGAGGGGAACCTATAGTCTGCTGCTGAAGGAATCAACGAGCAAGAAGTGAAGATCTGGGTCTTTTCAGGAGTTCTAAACCACTCCCACAATCTCCTTGCCTCCCCAGACATAGCTCAGCATCTCAAGTACTAACTCCATCTAGCAAGAGAAGACATTGGCAACAGGGTCTGCCGCCTGCTCTTAACACCCAAAGGCCATGCAGTGTTGGAAAAGCAATTCTTTTTCATTTCTTTCGTGCTGTCTCCCATTTTAAGGTTCTACTAAAGAAAATTTCAGGCCAAATATATCACAATGATTACTATTATGGAATGACAAATAATTCATGTAAAGAAAGTTATTTGGGTTTTTATTTTTCCATCATGGGGCCCATGTTTCTAGTCAAACCAAACCAAAACAAGACAACAAATTAGAGGGGATTATTTTTAATACAGACTATCTTTGGTTTTGTGATTATTTCATTAAATAATTAGAAACATTGTTAGGTTTATTTTTCTTGAATAATTTAACTTAAGATGTAAGCATTCACCAAAAACACCAAAAAAGAAAGAACACTAGCTCAGCGGCCTAAGGCAACGGCAGATGTAATATTTAAATTTTCAGTTCTTTAACTTCCATAGTGCCTTAAGAATAGAATGGCCATACTGCTGCTCTTGAAGTAATTTGAGAAAACATAAATTTTATGAATATTGTACTTGTTGACTGCAAGGGTCTTCTTGAGATTAAGAAACAATGGGAACTGTAACAAGAAATAAAAACTGATGCTGTATGCTGGAATTCTACATGCCAGTATGAGCATGATAAATGAATTCCCGGAAGGAAGAGTTCCTTCCTGTACTTCTCTCCTTTCCACAGGGGTCTTGGGAATCATCCTGGGAGTAGAGCTCTCAAACACATGAATTTTTGTTTTTACAGTTATCCAGAATCAGTCATATCCTTGATCCATAGCTCCCTTTTTATAGGAAAACACATGTGCAAAAGGGTTTTTGGCTAACATTTCCTTTACTCTCCAATCTTTTGGAAGATATACACAATAGGCATTGAATACTTTCCTGCCCTGTAATGAAATAGAGAAAGAAGCAGACAACTTCAAATCTAGCAACATGCTTCCTGAAGGACTGGCCTGACATCATGAAAATAAGACTTCATTTGAAGAGCTTATATCACTGAAAGCATCATGTCTCTTCACTCATAAAATAATAATGCCATCGGAACAACAGGGTAAGTCTGTCATAAGACTAACATGAATAAACACTTAAAAAAAAACTTATTAGACCTGTATTTTGGAGGTGAGCAGTTTAAAATATTCTCTATAAGAAATCAGGACTCAATGAAGCTCACATCATGTTATAAACTGGCTGAAAGGGAAGGAGCCTCAAATCTAATTCACCAGGAAATATCCCATTTGATACACTCTAAATATTTAAAATATTTAAAATTAAATATTTTTTAAAAAGCATTATGCTACACAGGGGACACTCTCCAGAAGATAGTGATTATCCTCAGCACACCTATATTTATTTAATTTTCTTTTAATAAACTTTGTTAAGAATGTGGTTTCCAACAAATTATCTTAACAAGTGAAAACAGCAAGTTGGGCCTTCCTTAAAGAACTAAGAGAAAATAAGGTTATCTTCTGGCAGTTGAAAACTTCACCAGCAATGTTAGTGGCAGGTGGAAGGCATTCACAGTTATACCACTGTTGTTTGCATATAGGAACTTTTGTGAAATGCAGGAGTTCTGCAAAAGAGCTATGCTGAAGCGTGTGTTTTCATATGTGTATTGCAGAACACCAATCAGACAGATGAAAAAACTTGAAGTGATGCTTCCTAACAATTTGGAGCACTGAATTTTGAACAGGACTTGGGAACTTCTGGCCAGTTAGTCTAATAAAGGTAGAAAACTTGCTGCTTCAGGAAGCAGAGGGATAGATTCACATACAGCTTTCTCAGGAGGGATCTGACCATGGAGTGGTTGGGTCAGTCCCTCTTTGGCATTTTAGCCAAACTTCCTGGGCACTGCCTCTGTAATCACACCCTGAATAGCTAGGTTATCTTCTATACTGATGTTACTCAGGCTTGAAGAGTCTTTTGAATTTCTGATACCTGGAAAAACAGGACAATGGAAAAGAGTTCTTCAACATCTTTCATTATTTGACAACCTAAGGCATGTGAGGAACTTCTGTTT